ATTCTAACAGTCTGTCATTTTCTCCCATTTGAACCCATCAGAATCAGAATCAGGAATACTTTAATAATCCCAGAGGGATTGTGTTTCAGTCTTCCAAGTGATTCCAAACATATTCCTTCATACCTCATGTCATTTTTTTAGACTTACAACACCAACCTGCACCTATCATGCGCCTATTATGAACAATTTTACATAATGTGTTTAACATATAATAGTTATCTGCTGTCAATCAACTCGCCCACATTTATTTCTAACAATTAAATCTTACCATTAAGCCACACAAATGTTGATCAGTTGATAAATAAATGTAAATAAATCATTTTTGCACCACTAAACATTTTTTAAAAGTCATAAAAAGGCTAAAAGGAGTTTGCTGCCACTGATATGTGAAATGTGTAAAGCTAAACATGAGCTCTGTAAACAGCAGATTCCTGTAATAAAGGCGGAGGTGGTTCTTACCTGTATCAGTGGCTTCTCTTGAGTAAGTCCCAGAGCTCTGGAAAGGGACACGGTCACAGGAAAAATGTGGCGTGGAATTTGACCCCACATCCATGTTGGAATGTTGACAAGCTCACAAACAGGTCACACAGAAGCCAAGCATTGATCCCAGGCCCACGGGGTCAGGGTTCACTTTTTAAAGGCTTCATATCAATGAATGTTTCTGAATGAGAATCAGAAGTACTCTAATAATCCCAGAGGGAAATTATTAAATTAATAATTTCCCTCTGGGATTATTAAAGTATTTTTGTTTCTGATTAAAAAGCTGATTTTTAATGATTTTCCTTCATCTAAAGACGAAAAAAGATGATTTTTCAAGGATTATCCTTCAACTAAATATCTTAAAAATATTTTTGAATTATTTTCCTTCATATTCTAAAATACTATGTGGAGGAGAATGAGAGATAAACCCAGTCATGCTTTCTAGTTATTTTCCAGATATTTATAATTATCCAGATATCTAAACTTTGGTAACACAATGATAGATTTGTGTAATTTCGAGGTAGGCATCCCTTCATAATCCATCTCTCTGACAGACATTTCATTTCATTACTTATTATTTATTTATTTCATACTTCACCAGGTGCAATAAGCCGGTAATGTGCAATAATAGTAATTAAACTTTGCTCACAGGCATTCAAACCTGTTTCTGCCCCTTTGCTTTTTACTGTTTTCTTGTGTCCAGACTATGTTTCTTTTTGCAGTCTTCCCTATTAGTTTATACTTTCTGATATTTCAGACGCAGCTGACTATCAACAAGCAGCATCTTTTGCCACTGAGCATGAAGGCGTTATGTAACCTGCATTGTTTCCTCTGACAGCTCCCTTGTTGTGGCTGTTTCCTGTCGATTCAACCAGAGACAACAGCTCTTTACAGCTCGTGTTTAATTAATTGTGCATGCACTTGGTTTAGAGATTAGATTTTTTCCACCCCCTGGTCCTGAAAAATGATTGATTGATTTTTTATTTTCCCCCAAAATAAACAAACCTTCTGGGACAACGGTGATTTATAAAAATTTGGAGATAAATTCAATGCATGCAAAGTGTTTTTCAGCAGTAAATCTAAATGCAAAGATATAAAAAGAAGACTTTAGAAACAGTAGTTGTGCATTCAGGCAGTGTAAATAATTCTCACTGAGTTAAACACAGTACAACTTAAAGGCCACATCTTTTCTATGTATGCTGTCCAAAAAGGAAAGTTTGCAGTTTTTTAAGTGCAAATACTGGAAACCAAAACGCTACTTTGCATATTTTCAGCCTCATCTGGATATTCAAGATTGCATGTTATTCGTCATGATAATCCTAAAATCTACAGCTCTTGAATTTTTAAGATTTAGGCCTGTAAAAATCGTGATTCCCACCCCCTTTTTCCACCTTTACTAATTTATGAGATTATGAGAAAGCCTGGCAAAAGGTGTCAGTAAGTTGGACTCTCAAAATATCCACAAAACATTTCCCCCCAACAGAAAATAAGACAAAGAACGGCCATAAATCCTCTCTCAAGCCCAGTTTATCACAGCGCTACCGGGCCCAGGTCTATAAATACCCGGAGGTTTTGAAGGATGTGTAGTTTTTTTACTGTCACAAAACACAATAGTAGGAAGTACAGTCAGTGTGCGCATGCGCACAGGCGCGAAAGCTATTTCTGCTTTTGGCCCGTAGGCGCGGTGACGTCACGGCGACGGGTTCCGCGCGGAGCCGCGCGCGCGCCCCCGACTCTCGAGGCTCTCTCGACTCATCCGGAGCAGGAGCAAGAACCAGGAAGTGAAAGTGTACACATGGAGGGTGTGTCTGTCCCCGCCAGCGTATGTTTTAGTTTAAAAAACACCGTCCTGCGCGGTTAGGGAGATGGGGGACTCGGCGAGGACTAAGCGGCGGGAGCAGCTCAAGCGCTGGTCCGGCTCCTGCACCGACAAGGCGTCGGACGTGCCCCGGAGGAGGTGGCGCGGCGATGCCGGGGACGGTACCGGGGAACGGGAGGCCGAGGAGCGGGAGGCCGAGGCCGAAGACCCGCAGAGGGAGCCGCCGGAGTCGGCCCACAGAGGCGAAAGCAGCCCCGTCCTCAGGAGGCGGTGAGGAAACGTCCGGC